AACCCAACGCGCGAATCCCACGCCTTTGATCGAGGTCACCAGTGTACTAGCCATGTGTGGTCATAAACAAAGCTAGTATTTGTGATCGCGTATAATGTCAATTTTGTACAAAGAGCTATTAATTAATGGAAAGTTATGTTTTTGATTATATCGAATCAGTAAGATTACTTTACGGATCTTTTATAATCTTAATTCCAAACACTGGTGCATAAAAATCATTTTGAATTTTAATCGCTGTTTTTGTCTGTTCACGCAACAATACATTTAAAAAAAGTATTGCTCTATCCCGTGTTGTTGTATTTTAATTCATCTGCAATTGTAATTGAATGGAGGCTTCGGTAAATAATTGTAATTACTACGCATGCTACGCACATATTATTTTTACCATCACTCTTGTGAATGTCCATTTATTATTTATAGAATTAAATAAACATTAACATAAATAAAAATTCCTTCAAATATACATGTAGTATAATTCAAGTCTTTGTAATATAGCAAACAGTTTCATCCATCTCTGCCGCTTTGTGTCTTAAGTGTTGAAGTCCAGTCCTCGTTTACATACACGTGGCCACAGAGAGCCGCGGGCACCTCCATGTTGAACAAATTATTTTTTCTACTTAACTTGTTACTGTATGCGAACAAAATGATAAACGTGTAATTATTTATAGGTTCCTATTATTTTTTCTGAAAATCAGAACACATTTATCAGCTCTCTTAAGGTTTTACGGACACATACAATGTACACGCATACAAGTACAGAAAATGCACGTTTTATAAGTGCATATGCAAGAGCGCCCGAAATATATGCATATCGAGAGTTTGAAATACAGAAAAATTCTAAATCCCGTATTTTTTTTTTTTTTTTTTCATTATTTTTGCAATAAAATATCGACTACACTGAAATGATTTTATTGATTTACAGCATATATTAAAGTGAATTATAGGTCCGCTGGGTTGATCATGAGTTGTTTTTATAACGGGTAGTCCTCCTGGCCAGTCATCGTCACGGTTTGTAACATCGTAATTACACACGTAAATGCTAAGATGCCAATCCATATATTTTCCATAAGAAATGAATTACCGGGAGATGTCTCGTTTTCTCTGATCATATATTAATTGACAGCGTTTATGAACAGCTGTTAAAACACAGGCCTTTGTAAACCGGTAAATCACAAAAAAGAAAAATCCGAGAAATATAAATATCTCTGGAAATAACATTGCCTTTAGATAACTAAAATAAATTAATGTCCGCCGATTTTTGAATTAATCCGAACATTCATTGATGTGTACCGGTATAGTGTACCTGTACAGGCAGTGTGTATATTTTTATGAAGCCTTCGTCCAAACGAACAATATAATAAATCTTGAATGAATTAACTAACCCCTTCAGTACACACACATTCGCCTATACCTGAGATCTAATCAAAATCAGATCTTTTCTACGGCCCGGAATTCTGATAGTCGCTGTATTTCTAATCTGATTGACTATACACGTACCTTTCACAAATATTCTTTAATTTTCTTCGGGACCCCTGCATCACTAGTCAGGTGCTGTACCGACTGAGCTACCCAGGCCGATATCCACGACCCAAACCATTACAGTTTAAATAATAAATAATTAATAAAACTTTTATTAACTAATATCTTCATTTTTTTAAAAATAAATTTTTAACTTAATTATAAGAAATCAATGCAGGTGCTCCACGTGTCAATTATTGTGATAGAGGTACTTACCACGTGACCTGATCATAATGCATTCATATTGGTCAACTCTGTGATGCATGTGTGTATTTATCAAACCTTTCAAACTCTTTCCTCTTGACACCATCTTTAAGTGTATTAAAAAGTCAAGCGACTTCCTGTCAATTTTGAATATCGCCACTGCACGTGTATTTTGAACTTTGATTACCAATTTCATTATTTTCATCAATAATAAATATCCTTTTAGCCTGTCATTTTCGAAATTTTAAAAACTAAACTTCACACAAAAAATCACGGACTTCTTGTTAAGTTATAATGCAAACAAACGACTGAAACATCTTGAACACAAGAAGGGTTGGTGAGGTGCATAACTACATGTATAAAATAAAAAGAAGCAAAGGCGGATCCAGGGCCTGCGCGCCGGGCGCACGTCCCCCCCCCCCCTTCCGTTCCGTTTTCGAATTTTTTGTATGTAGAACTTATATGTCCATTATCCTTAAATCAAGGAAAAAACATCTCTTATTTGTAAGAATTTGTCAACTTCTGGGGGCTTCGCCCCTGGATCCCCACCAGGGCTTTGTTATAGACCCTCTGGGGGCTTCATTGCAGCCCCCCTCAGACCCCTCCCCTGCCTTCTACTTTGCCCCCCCCCCCGTTATGAAATTCCTGGATCTGCCACTGCAAGGGGCGTAATAAACAAGAATAATATAACTTTGAAGGGATGTGATCATCGGTATTGGTACTTTTACCTATGATATATACACAAAGACCTCTAGATCTACACGACAGAAATAAAGCTTGAGCGGCAGCTCTGCTTTAAAACATGTATCTACTTTTCGGTACAATCATAGAAAATTATAAGTATTTAGCAAATCCTTGCTACAAAGCACAAACACCATAATATTAAACTTGACATGTAACTAAAATTTTTCCATCAATAATCCACGAACATACATTGAAAGGATTATAAATATCTGTAGAAATTAAAAAGCAATTTGGAATTTAAAAAAAAAAACTGTCGGCGAGTTTCTTATTGCTGCTATTGCGTTGAACATGCCATTTGATTGACAATCTCTCTATATGTAATATAGAATTTTTTGTATTATTTTCATTTTTTATCTTAATAATTAAATATTACTGATTATTTCTATTTTTATCATTATTTTGTACTACACGTATGTGTTTGTGGTTTAAGTGCAAAGTTAGACTGTAGATTATAAAACTATAACATATGCCAGGACAGACATTTCTACATGTTACTTTTCAAGGACATAGCACTGAAAGGGGGGGGGGCAGCCAGAGAAAAAAATTAACTTACCTGAAAAGACTTCACAAGCAAAACCAAAATAGGAAAATAGCCCAGAATCCTATTTCCTGGCGGAAAGGGGTGGGGACAACGGGACTATACTGCAACAAAAAGTGGGGGCCAACGGGACTTTCAATGAACATTACTAAAGTAAAAAAAATAGGTCTGAAAAAAGGGGGAGGCTGATGCTACGTGCCTGCTCTTATAGCTCATGCTTTATTTGATCTGCAATATCATAAGTTTACTTGATTGAATATCTCGGAGTCTCTCTTATCCTTTCTACAGCCTTTTAGTTTGACCAACTATGCAAAATTTAGCCTTTTGAACAGTTGGCGTTAGGGCTTTCATACTTCACATCCGAAATTCTTTGTGACACGACCTTTTCTTTGGAATAAATATTTTTGACCTTGTGACGTTCACCTTGGAGTTTGACCCACTTTTTAAAAAATCTAACCTTGGCAATACCTTTTGAACGGTTGGGACTAGTGTTTTCAGATTCACAGGTGTATTCCTTGTGAAAACGCTGTTCATTGGATATCAACAATTTTTACAATTTGACCTTGACCTTGGAGTTTGACGTACTTTAAAAAAAATTAAAAGTTTTGACTTTTTACCTTTGACCTTAGAGTTTGACCTACCTTTGAAACATTTTAATCTCATTCATAACTTTTCAACGGTTGATGTTAGGGTTTTCGTATTTTTACATGTGTGTTTCTTGTGACAAGACCCTCCCTTGAGTACCGACAGTTTTGACTTTTGTCCTTGATCTTGGGGTTTGACCTACTTTTGAAAAAAAAAACCGTTGACCTTTGTCATAACTTTTGAATAATTAATGCTAGGGCTTTCATATTTCAATGTCTATTTCTTATGACAAGGCATTCCTTTGGACACCGTTAATCTATCCTTGACCTTAACATTTGACTTGAGTATAAAAAAAAATTAACCTTTGCCATGCTTTTCAATAGTTAGTCTTATAGCGGTTTCATATTTCACAGTTATATTCACTGAGACGAGATCTTTCTTTGGGTAACATAATTTCTTATCTCTTGACTTTGACCTTGGAGTTGGATACGGATTTGAGAAACTTAAACCTTTGCCATAAGCTGCAATACCGGGGCATCGGTGTTTCACAAACACGTCTTGTTCAATATCCAAACTGGACAAAAACATTCACAATGAATCCTTAAATCATTGTGTGGAACCTGATAAATTATTTGACTCGATCTATGGTCTGAAAGAACATGGCTAACCTTATCCAGTCAATAACTCACAGATTGGGATTTTTCTTAACCAGTGTGTGTTATGGTCTTGATGAAAGGTCATTTGGATGAGAAGCTTTAAATTCGTTACCGTCTTTATCTAGTGAAACATTGTTGGTATCATGCAGAGTGTGGCATGGCCTAAACTCAAGTTCAAGTTCACTAAGGATAAGATATTTTGACTGGATGTATGGACTGTATGAACATGAGTGAATTTGAGAAGTTAGTAATACACAGATGGGGTTTGCTCATAACCAGAGTGTGTCATGGCTTTCGCAAGGTCATTTGGACAAGTTCAAGGTCACATGCATTCCTTTATCGTCTTTATACTACAGAGTGAAACATTGTTAGTTGATACCTCTTACAACATTGCTTATAACCTTATGATATGGCATGACCTTGACTCAAGGTCACTTCTTCCTGCCTGCAGCTCCAACGGAAGACCTACTCGTTGCTTTGCAACGAGCTCGGCTCTAGTTTCTTTATCTTACCCAGTTATACCATTTTTTTTTAATTATTATTAGTAGTAAACCCTGGGTAAGATTCAGCATTGACTTTTTAAATCATTATGTCCACCGAGAAATAAATTTAAAAAAAAAGAAAGAATCGCACACCTCTTTTATGAAAGCCTTCGCTCAAGAATCAGCTACGAAACATTGTGGTGCGCATTCATTAATCACATAGACTCTTCAGTTAAAGGAGGTAGAAACGTTACCATCCTCAAGTCGCAATATCGGATATTTTATCGAATTAGGATATTAATAATAATTCTTCTTTTATATTGCAACATTTTCGGGAAATGGCTGAAAATAACGAAAGAACAGATAGCAGAGAAGACGATCTGAAGAGGCGTGCTCAAGGTATTTTGAATTAAAAAATGAAGGGGCAATTTTATGCCCTTTACATTCCATTCACATTTGTCCTGTTGTGTTGATGTAGCTTTAACTTATTCATTTGACGATTAGCCGGATTAGGTAATGGTAAAGGTTAGTAATTATTTATTTAAAGAAGAAAAAGCCATCACAGACACCTCTTTTACGGTGTGGCCGTAAGGGCGAGCTCATACTGTTTAACACTGTTTAATAATATCATACACATTATTTCATTATACATGAATATTAAATATTTCAGATGAGCGGAAGTTCATGAATAGTCCTATATTAAAAATACCAATCAACTGTGAAATGATGACCTCGGATATAATGAGTATCGGTTATAACAAAATAATAATGCATGTCATTATATCTGGTCACTGTACATGAAACACAAGGTGTGCAACTCTATTTTGACCTCCACCTCAATTCATGATTCATCTAACCATAGAAATATAAAAGGAACCATGGAAATCTTATGGATATTACAAAGATATAAAGTCTTAAACTGTTAAAAGTCAGATTATAAATAGATAAAATTAATGTTAAGCATGTAGAATTCATTTTTAATACACTGATTTTTATGGTGATATGGTGTCTTTATAAGTCCATAGGTTGGCCAACCAAGTTATAGTCAACTCTGTAATAGTACTACTTCCTTAATACCCATGATATTTTGTGACGTCAGCTGATGGAGGTGGAGCCCTTTCAGGAAAATTTTAAATTTGCACGGAATTTAAGATGAGAGCCCTACCAATGAGGTTGAATTAAAAGTTCTAAAGCGATGGATATAAGTGAGAATCACAGGTACTTGTGGACGGGACCCCCCCCCCCCCCCCAGCAATTCAAACCCAAGGTTTGTTGGACATTTTTTTCACAAATTATATTTATTACGCTTATTCATCATGTGTACCATATGAAAAATTCGTAAAAACCCCGAAATAATCGTTCTACACAAAAATACCCCACTATACATTATAAGAGAGAAAGGTATGCCACTCCGGTTTGTTTACGTTGTACCCCCACTACACCAAGAATGTATCACTTATTACGATAACGTCCGAGAGAGTTTTGGCCTGACGTAATAATCTCTCTCGGGTGTTATCATAATAGTTAATATATTCTCTATGCACTTCCGTTGTGTTTACCTAAGGAATTTTCAACGCGCTGACTACAATGCTGTTTAAGGATTAATTGTGGGATTCTTACGAGATGCAGAGTCAATTCGATAGCATGAACTGTGACAGAAATATATGTAGAGACAGTGTGAACCAACATTTTAGGTTAAAATAAAATAAATACATGATTTTAAACCCAGAAAGACTAGTGGGGGTACAACGTAAACAAACCGGAGTGGCATACCTTTCTCTCTTACAATGTATAGTGGGGTATTTTTGTGTAGAACGATTATTTTGGGGTTTTTACGATTTTTTCGTATGGTACACATGATGAATAAGTGTAATAAATATAATTTGTGAAAAAAATGTCCAACAAACCTCAGGTTTGAATTGCTTGGGGGGGGGGGGGGGGTCCTGTCCACAAGTACCTGTGGTGAGAATTATCATATTTGAACCCATTGCTACACAAACCATTAGGAGGAGGTCAAAATGGTTTTGTTTACCTTATGTTTCATATGTAGAGGGGTGATAATTTTTAGCTCTACTGGTCAGAGACCAGAAGAGCTTATGCGATAGTAAGGTGTCCATTGTCCATCCATCTGTCTAGCTGTCTGTCTGTCTGTAAACAATTTTTCAAAACGTTACTCCTCCTACAGTTTTGGTCTGATATCAATATTACTTGGCACACAAGTAAACTACACTAAGATACATCATTTAGTGCATCGGGTTTTGATTTTGATGAACGGTGTTGCCATGGTTACTAAAACTAGAAATTTCTGTTAAATTCATTTAAAACACTACTCCTCCTACAGATTTGCTCTGATTTCAATATAACTTGGCACACAAGTAGACTACACTAAGATACATAATTTAATGCACCTGTTTTTTATTTTGATGAGCAATGTTGCCATGGTTATTAAAAAAATAGAAATTACTGTGAATTCCTTTAAAATGCTTCTCATTCTACAGTTTTGGTCTGATTTGTTTATATTTTGGCACACAAGTAGACTACACTAAGATACATAATTTAGTGCATTTGTATTTGATTTTGATGAAATGGTGTTGCCATGGTTACGAAAAATAGAAATATCTGTGAAATTCCTTGAAAACGCAATTCTACTGTTCTAGTCTGCTTTTAATATAATTTTGCACACAAGTAGACTACACTAAGATACATAATTTGATGAATTGGTTTGTGATTTTGATGAATGGTTTTGCCATGGTAAATAAAAATAGAAATTTCTGTAAAATTCCTTTAAAACATTACTCCTGTTACAGTTTTGGTCTGATTCCAATCTAATTTGGCACACAATTAGACTACACTACTGTACATAATAGTATGTATTAGTTTTTGATTTCAGTGAATGGTGTTGCCATGGTTACTTAAATAGAAATTTCTGTGAAATACTTTCAAAATGTTACTCCTCCTACAGTTTTTGTTTGATTTCAATATAATTTGGCACACAAGTAGACTACATTAAGATACATAACTCTATTTATTGCTGCATGTTGCAAAGTTTCAAATCTGAGTGCTACTTTTCCTTTGTTATACATACAGACCAGTAGAGCTACAGTCTCATCAGAGACTTCTGGGTTTTTTTTACCTAGGGCTTTATTTGCAACTTATTGATGAAATTTTGGGTGCCTGTGAAGTCATGTTGGCAGTGAAAAGCCATTCAGGACATCCCAATATACAATCAATGTTTTGATGTCATGAAGAATGACTTTATCACCATATTTATTAAGTGTATCAATTTGAAAGTGAAAATTTAAAAAAAAAAATAATTCATGCATTTATAGGATATTTTTGGTTTTAATTAAGACCATGACATTTACTAACCATTCTAAGATCTGAATAACCAAAAGTTAATTTATTTGGTATTTTGATGTACTGGGGACAGACTGTCATATTGACTAGTTGGCTAGTTTCAGAAGTTTGCATCACCAATTTTACAAGGCTTTTCAGAAATTTCATTTTCTTTCTTTAAGGAGGTTGGATAATCGATCCTGTTATCAAAAGTATTGAGAATTTTTTATCAAGTGTATTTTTGGAATCTATACACATAGCTTAATTAAAATCATGCAAAACCAAAAATGGGTGTCAATGCGCTTCTTTTGGTGCTACGGAGCATTTAATATGACCTTTTTGCACTGTAATTATGTCTAACACATAAATTAATTTTCCAAAGTTTTTCCTCTATTATTTTTTATCCAAATAAATTATGGGAACATACACAGTCTTTTTTCATCTTGAATAGTCTCTTTAAAATTTGTGACAACAAAAAAAGTTTCAAATTACTTCATATAGTCAATTATTTGACCTTTTTGCACTCAAAAATTGTCATTTTTCTGGCAATAAAAATTTAACAAGCAATAAAATCATTTGAAAGTAATGACATTTTTCTGAACTTAAGCAGAATGGTTAAAATTATCTTGTATATTCAGAAAATAAAATTAAAAGTGGGGGTCTGTGATGTTAATTTTTAGATATAACTAAAATAGTGTTAATTTTTAGCCTAAAATGGGCAATTTTTTCCCCAGGTCTTTCACAATATATTTGCTATATTTGTCCAATATGATGATAGAATTCATGACGGTTAATTTAAATTTTAATATATTATTTAGGACCAGTATAAAACATTTCACTGCACAAAATAACTCTGTGTGCAGGCTGCATGTAAAAATAGAAATCCAAACTTAACAATACTGTAAATATTTCGAAAGAAAAAAATTGATCATTTTCTTCTAAAAAAAAACCTTCCACCACAAAATATAGTTCCTATCTTAATGCTTTCGGTATGAAACTTAATCATGAGGTTTTAATTGAATATAGTTTAACTAGCATTGTAGAATCCAAATTTATTGTAAGAACTTGTTTATTTAAACATAATGCAGAATGTTTTAAATAGAGGTCAAGACAAAAATCTGCTCAAAAGCTCAGGAATGACCCTTGTTAAAGTCTTTCATGATTACAGTGAGTGACCTGTCTTAGTCTCTCCTATGGATTACACAGAGTTTGTACAGACCATTAAAAGAGCTTGAATTTTGATGCAGGCTTGGAAATGCTTGAGCAGCAGAAAGTCATGAAATAGTGCTTAAATTTGATGTTAGGTTCTTGATTTTTTTTCTATCATATGGTGCTTAAATGCTCATCAATAGTTGCTACATAAGCAAATCTTAAGAAAAATGAAAAAAATGAGTTCATGCATTCTCCTTTTTTGCATTACTGATTTGAAGGAAATGTTGGCAACAAAATAATAAAGGAGAAGTAAAGTAAGCAAATGAAATGGAAAAAATTCAACCAATATAATGTTTCACTTATTTATATGCTTGATTGTATTGTGCAAAATTGCTTGAAAAGTGCTTGAAAAATAGTCTTCAATGTGCTGGAAAAGTGCTCGAGAAATAACGGTGCTGGGCTTACATTAAACTCTGTTACATGGAACCCTTTAAATCAGATAGTGTTGCTACAATTCTTCATATATGAAGTCGAGATTTTTTTCATCACTAACTTATATTACGGTACTACATGTAAATATATTCTGATAATAAACTCTATACTCCTTTCAGTCTCTTAGACTACAATCTGTCAGTAAAAGACATTTTGTGAATAAAAAGCTCTGCATCTAAATGTCCAAAATTTTAGTCTTTGTTGGATGATTTTTTTAATTTCAAATATTTTAATGGAGTTGGGTAATGTTTACACAGGAATGATCAGTTATATAATATTGCCAGCATCCATTATGTAAATTCATTATTAGTTAGGTCAAGCCGCTGCCATACATGCCAACTTTCCCGATTTAGGCGCGATCCTCCCGATTTCACCTTTTGATCCCGCTCTCCCGATCAGGAAAGCAAAATTGCCCTAAAATCCCGATTTAAAAATATTCAACCAAAAATTTCCGATTTTCAGAGTTTCCCTACCACAATATTTTGTCAATCAGGATTAGGATATCAGACTTGTGTATTCAATGCACACAGATTAGTCTCTTTGTTTATTTAACTCATGCAGAGGTGTTAATTAGCCACAGGAAATCACTTCAGCTCATGGCTTGGTCAATCGAGTGATTTCTATTAACTTTATTGATAAAATTGCGAACTCCTGTGGTAAAGGTTACCGGTTAAAATAAGATGAAAATAATTTAGATGAAACAACAAAGTCTTATACCTCAAGTACACTGAATTCTCCCTCCCCCCCCCCCCCCCCCTCCCGAAATGTAATATGACAAGGGAATACCCACACGTCACTGCCAAGATTATGGAAAAGTTCATCATGATTATAACAATTTAAATTTTTGTTTGGGATAGGGGGTATATCCTTGTTTTAAATAATTGATGATCTCCAGGGTAAATTTATTTTTTCAAATTGTTTTGTGTGTGTGATAAAATTAATCACCATGATGTCTACTTATTAATAGGGAATAAAATGACACTTCTATTTAAAGTACACACAATAAACAAATTTTCTTATCTCTCTCTCTCTCTCTCTCACACACACCCTCACACACATAATGCATTGCAATTTTTCAATATTTCTTTCAATTTAATGTCTATAATTAGGAAATTCTAATTGTGTAAAATGTAAATATAGAATTTTACAAATGTTTCCTAGAAACTGTACAGTAACAAAACCTCATATATATATTTCTAAAACTTTGCAAAAACAATTATTGAACTGAAAGTTGTACATTTTCACATTTTTACCAAATTCTGTGTCTTTTTTCAAACATAATGTTGTTAAACTAAACAGATATCACTTCTTTAGTGAGAGAGGTACCTATTTAAGCAAAAGATATTTGAATTTTGGGAGGAAAAAAATTGTTCGTATTATTTATTCTTAAATTGTATTAATAAGTGATTATAAATAAAAAAAAAAAAATGGGATAAACATTTATTTTCACGACAAAATGTCGCAAATTTAAAGCTTTGAAAATTGTTGTCACACGCAAAATCCCCAATGGGAATTTTCAAAAGTTGGCATGTATGCAGGAAGTGAAGCCTTTACCCCAGATGTTAGAGTAAAACCACAATGGGGTCAAAGATTTACATAGAGATAAATTAAGGAATTCTTTAAGAATTGGATGAAGAACATAAAGATGACAAATCATCATAGATAGTTTTCATATGCCATATTTTCCCTCCAAGTTATTTCTCTTCTTTAAAGTTCAACTCAATGATTTTTCTTCTTTGTCTTACCAAATTTAAATGGATGTAAGAAGAAATATTTGGGAAAAAAATCTTTATAAAACAAAAATTCTGAATTAAAAGAGGCTTTAAAAATATATATACTCTTCTGGAAAACAATGTTTCCTACACCACAATGGCCAGTATGACAAGTTCAAATTGGTTGAGTAATGAAAGAATCTGAGCATATTGTCCTCCAATATGCTGACCAATGGAAAATAACTCGTGCTAAATTCACATTTATCAAATACCTATAATCTATGCATCCATCTTCATGTAGTGTAGATTTAAGTTTGGTTAAGTCATTACTCCTGCCCTGGTGCAAGAGTGTGGACCGTATGACAGTGATAGGAAATCAAAGTTTTACATGGGAATACACAGGAAAAATCTTCTTCTATTAAGAACAGAATAACTGAGATAGGTTATTTATGTGAGCATGCAACAACAAGACTATTGTAAAACCTTTTATATTACAGTTCCAGTTTGATTCTATATTTCAATAAAAAAGGACTTGTCAGAATTTTTGTTAAATGAATGTGAAAAAATGATCATGTTGAGCATGTTGAAATATCTTATTTTTTAACCCAGTATTTACAAATAAGTAGAATAGGTAAATTTTATTGTCTATAAAATTCCCTGCATAGTACTTACATACACCCACAATACAGTTCAGTATACAAAACTTCAGTTAACCTGTCCTATAGCTAGAAGACTGGCTAACTTTTTAGCAAGGTTGACCATTTTTCAAAATTTTTTTAAAGTAATACAGTGTTAGTTCAGAAAGACTGGAATTCAAGAGTAGCTAGTTTTTGGGCAAGTGTCAGTTATCATGCTGATTCAATCCAAATAAATCAACATTTTCTCTCTAAAGTAAACAAAAATTGATTTATATACAGGACTGATTTATTGACATACTTTAGGAGAGGTTGTTTAATTTCCAACATTGTTTGTAAAGTGAATCTGCAGTATCCGGTGAAATATTTATTGAAATATATTTCATAATTTAGATGAAGTGCTATCCCCAACATTTGCTCCGACAAAATTAAAGTTCCCAAATCACATACAGACTGGGATGGATGAAAAATTCCAGCAACTGGCAGACACAATTTTAAGTAGAAGCAGTGAAAGTGGAGGGAAAAGTCAAGCCCCTTATGAAATCCCTGAATATCCAATAGAAGAAAATGAGAGGAATTTCTACTTTGAAAAACAACTTAGTTCAAGGTTTGTAATTTGCATGAAATTCAAAGAGAACTTGTCTCTTGATATGATTGCTAGTTGTATAATATTTTTCAAAATACTATGTTCATATATATATATACTCAATTGTATATTCACAAGGTGAAGGAAGAATCTGTATTAAATTGAGATTTAAAATTGGCAATTATAAATATCACATTTATATATATATTATAATTTTTTGCCAGAAATCTGTTCCATGTAATTGAGGGAAAATGCAACAGAATATTGATTTTGAATATACACTGAAATCTGAATATTAATGAAAGTTCTAGCCAAATAATAAGTCTGAGATTATAAAATAATCCCATGTTCTAAGCAGTTTTCATTGTTACACCAAAATTATCTTTCTGCAATTACAGTAAAACAAGCTTATATAGCAAACATGCTTATAATGAATTAATGGTTACAATGACGTAATTTTAATTCCCAGTGACCTTAAAAATGTATTGTGAACTTAAGGGATATAAGAAATATGTTTTGTTCCCCCAGGCACTTTGTTATAACCATGTTTTACTGTACAGTAGTATATAGTTCAAAAGTGATATCAATGAATGCTTACCCTGAACATGAGAAGTATCATGCATTTTGCTCTTACATATCTATGAAAGGATGATCATGTAAGCTACTTTGAGACCAAAATATAGCTAACTGATTCAAGGTTGTTTCAGTCAACAAATAAACTATATATATATATATATATATATATATATATATTTATGCGATGCATAGATTCTTTTCATTATAGTTCTGGTTTATAAAATGTTTATTTGATTAATGTGCATTTGTTTTACCAGTTGGTATTATTTACAGGGTGGGTATGTTATTTTCTCTTATTCCTGTAAGCTTCTCACCCATCTGCACAATAGATACAAAAAAATTAAACCAGACAAGATCCTAGACAAAGTAAAAATGTGCTTTCATGATCATTGATTCCTATTCTTAGGATATATATATCAGCATTACTTAATTTTTTTCAATGAAATCATCATTTTGTATTAAATTTGTATGAAAAAGTTACCATTGTGTATTTTCTATATGAAAAAAAAACCTGCTTAAATTTTTTATATTATGTTTAGGACGAAAATTTCTTTGCCAGATTTATGCTTGAAAACATTCAAATTTGAATACTGTAAATTCATTTTTTATTTTTGAAAACTATGTTTCCAGGTATATAATTACATGAGACTGCCTTCTGGTGAAAATGTCATTATGTTTATTTGTATTCTTAAAGATTAGGGGATTTCTTCTTGAAAACCCTAAATTTCAAGAATAAAAATTATTCCAAATTTAAATAATAGACTGTAGATACAACAGTAACCAAATTCTTTGAAAATTTTGTTTGGCCTATAAATACTACCGGGTAAATAAATATCTCATTAAAAAAAATGCTGCGAAAATTTGAATTACTTATGAAGTGGATTTTATATCAATTATAATAAAAGGGTAATTGATATTGTTGTGATTGCATTACACAGTATGCTGAAATAAAAAGACAATTTAACATAATATGCACACAATTTTAAGTAAGGCATGCAGAGATAACATTTTTAGCTCACTTGAGCCGAAGGCTCAAATTCATTTTTCTGATCAAAATTTGTCCATTGTCTGTCATTGTTGTTTGTTGTTGGTGTTGTCATCGGCATTGTATACATTGTTACAATTTCATCTTCTTTTCCAGAACCACTAGGCCAGTTTCAAGTAAAGTTGGCAAATAGTATCCTTTGGTAAAGGGGATTCAAATTTGTTCAAATAAAGGGCTACACTCTCTTGCAAGGGAAGATAAGTAAGAAAAGGTAAAAATTTGGTGGGGACATTTAAAAATCTTCTTCTCAAGAACCGGGGGGCCACAAAAGGTGAAACTTACCGTATATACTCACCTATAAGTCGGTCTGCCTATAAGTCGGTTCTATTTTTTGAGCTTCAATTAGAGGGATTGACCTATTAAAATACCAGCCATTTTTATAACTCGCGTATATTTCGGATAAAGAGTTTCGGACCAAAGTTAACTCCCAAAACCCGACATATAGGCGAGTATATACGGTATGTGAAAACTTCCTGATGTAGTGTAGATTCAAGTTCGTTCACTTCAGAACCACCAGGGGTAGGGAGGGGCCACAGTGGGTGATCAAAGTTTTACATTGGAATACATAGGAAAAATCTTTAAAAATCTCCGCAAGAACAACAAAGCCATGATTGGCCATATTTATATGGAAGCCTTCTCAGGTAGTGTAGATTCAAAAAGCGAGTAATTTTATTTCCTTAGTTGTTTCTTGCAAAATTACGTGATAATTAATTTCTCACATATATTTAGGAATCTACAGTAGTCAAAGAGATATGGAAGCTTCCTCATTAGTGTAGATTCAAGTGTGAACACATCAAGTCCCCTTTGCCCTAGGGAATCATTTTTACAGTTGAACTTTGGAATCTCGAACACAGATATCTCAAATACCATGAATATGTCAAAGTGATTCCAAACCATGTATTTTACCCTCAATATCTCAAACCCTCAGATATCTCAAAGTTTTTTCTCGGTCCCATCAAGTTCGAGATTGCAAGGTTTGACTGTATATTTAATCTTTACAATACAGAACTGATTCTGCTTTTTCCTAGCCAATGTGCTCAGGTGAGCGATGTGGCCCATGGGCTTCTTGGTTTTTTTTTTCCAATTATCAAAAGGGATAAACAATTGATGCAAGTGATTTGCATTGTTTATATTTATAGTCAGCGACATCATCCTAGGTAAGATTTTTAAGTTTTGGTATCAGGGCAATGCTTTTCTCAACATGTAAATATACTGACATGTTGGAAAATTTAATAACTGCAGGAGTGCTTTCCCTTTGCATGTCATGCCAAATGTTGACAAACAGGATATATGAAAGAGATCTGTTTTTTTCGCATCATCTTATTTTTATTTTTAAGGAGATTGATTTTATTTGATTGAAACTTAAAAAGAGTGAATTAGATTGCTCATAGTTATTTTAGAAGCAAAATTTAAGCCTTATTTTTATTCTGATCTCTCTCTTTTTTTTATTTAGTTAAAGAGCCATAGCGCATTTGATAGGCATTTTCGCCTACTCTACTAGTGATTTCTTAAATTCATTGTTTAATCAAAATTTTGTCATACAATCTTAGTTTATACATGCGTAAAACCAAACCACACAATATTGATATTTCAATGTTAATAGTTCCCTCATATGATAAATATAAAAATTATCCAGTTTGTATGGAGTATATAGTAAATATTGAGGTATCCACCTAAAGATGACACACTGTTGCCAAAGACCACCCTTAACCAGAAAAACAACTTTCGAATAATTTTATTTGGATATGACTGCACTTCATTACATTTAGATAATTTTGGTTAAAGGTGGTCTTCATATTGAAAATGATGGAAATATATATTCAACTTTTCTTTTCATATAATCGTAAGATTTAGCAATCTGTCTTAAATCTATCCATCCGACGCCATTCACTTCGTTGGCGCAGTGGTATGATTGCCGGAATGTAAATATGGTGATTGCGAGTTCGAGCCCCACATTTTTCTTTAATTTTTTTTTTGTGTGTGTATCTTTTCTACGTTTTTTTTTATTACGTTTTATAATATACATAATTTCAGAGTTATAATATACACATTACACTTCGAAAGTATCTCGGGAAAAGACAGTCCTAAACTATTTTATTAAAGTTTGCAAATTCATAGCTACTTGTTTTATTTTAATTGATTTTTTCTAAATCTTTTGTCTCAAAACTAGAGTATTGAACAAATTAAATGATTGTCATTTGACATACTTGCAACTATGAAAATATAACACGTGTCCTCAAATCATATTACATAGTTTGATCTTGAATTGAAAAGGTATATCTATAAATAGAAACAGGTGATTTCCTTTTAAATTCTTGAGTAGGCCGTGTCGTCATAGAGGCAGCTATGGCTCTTTGTTTTTTCATTACAGTTTTTAGGCCAGTCTTGATCCTCTTTGTGAAAATATCAAAAGTAAAATGCACCAGAGATGAAAACAGAAAACAAAAACAATTAAAACAAAACAAGAAAAAGATAAAATTGTGCAAAGAATTGCTTTTCATAAAACGGTTATTTATCATATACTTTATTCTTTTTTCCTTTGTTTTTGATTGAGATTATACATAAGAGCATATATGAAATATGGCATAAAGAAACTTTTCTAGGGAAAAATTGAATCTTGTTTTTTCAGTGCTTACCTACCGGTAGATTGTTCGATTTTATGCATTATCGCTATATCATGATGCATTATATTTACAAATTTTATGAATGAATGGTAGAGTTGGATAAGTGGACAGTGTATTGATCAGTCATTAGATTATATACCCTATACCTTCCTCAGGTTGATGTAAGCACTTTCTTTTGGATTATAGCTTGTCTGAGTACATCAATATCAGAACATTGACTTTCAGTGAGCGTATGTAATATTATCATGACTATTGGTTAGCACGTAATGTCATCTTACATGTACTAGTATTGGAAGGAAGTCTTGTTTCATAAGCATTTGTGACATTTTCTGAATCAGTGTTTTATAATGAAAATATGTCAACAGTCTTACATGTTGTAAGTATAAATTTTATTGTAATTACCAAGTATTTTAATTTACATTCTACTTATTTTCGGTAATGACAAAAATGGTAAATAGATGATAAAAAAATTCTTCATTTGATAATTTGTGTGGTACCTGATAATGGACTAATATATTGATTTCTTAATGTATTAACTTCAAATCACTTGAAAATTAGGGTCTGGTCAGCAATGCTTGCATTTTATCCACAATTGGAATGTTAAACCATCTTTTAACTGTTTTTCCTGTATAATATCCCCAGCCATTGTCATTTTGAGCCTCCAAGTTTGCAGCCTTCTTTCAGATTCTTTAACTCCGGGGACCAAACTTCCACAGATCATGAAAGAAATAAGTGAGTTGAATGCACGATATTGCTAAGATACAGTGTTTAGTACCAAAATAATGCCAGCCTATCATGGTTTGTGTTATAATAAAGAATATAGTGTTCACGTTATCATAAAGAATATAGTGTTCCTGAACATTAATTGTGTCATTAGGTGTTTTAAACTTGATGCATGTGTACAGAAACATTAGACTAGAAAATAAATCTTGCATGAAAATTTCAGTTTGCATGCAATGTACTCACACAAAGCAGAAAATAGAATATATATGGTATACATTTTTTTGTGCATGTTCTTTTAGCTTCATATTTACTCGGTGGTTGAGAGCAAAATTTTTTTTTCAGAATTGTATTATTTGTGCATTAGATATATCGCTGTCAATAAGAACTTTGTTGTTCTAGCTGTTTATAAAGAAACCGATCTTATGAAAAATTTACTAATAAAATATGGCTTATGAGAGATTGCAGGCATTATCAAGAAAATTGATGTCTCAGTATTGATTGTGGACTAGTTAATCATTGCTCAGAGTATATAGTAGGATATTGATTTGTTTAACACTAAATTACTTTTTACCACACAGAGAGAAGCATGCCTTCCCTTCTTCTTTGATAATTCCTGGATATCCTTGCATGAACATCCATGATTATTTTATATATCTCATTTACATGTAAATTTGATGTCTTATTCATTTTTGGTTTAGTGACATCCTTTAAAGATACATGTAGTAATATGATAATTTTTATTTCATGGTGTGGTAGACACATTATGAAGGCACAGAAATGGTACGTAATTGTGTGATAAGTGGGTTTGGTACTTAATATACATTGCAGTACATAATACAGAAAAGACATTTTGTTTGAAACAGTGTTGCAATTTTAATACAAACTGAGTGTGTAGAAAATTTAAAGTGACTTAAGATTAAATTGTCAAAATATACAGGAATATTTAATAAGAAATTTTACTGAACTTCAAAATTTGATTTTCAAAGCATTATACAATAAAATTTTTAACTCTTGACTTTGAAATACTGACATTTGATTTTTAATGTACATGTACTTGAATACTGACTGTAAGTAATATATGTGTATATGTTCAAAATTTTGGATTTGTGAATATTACCCTGGTAATATTAATGATAAAATATTACTTCAGTCCAAGAAATGGTAAAACTACAGAGCAGTAATCAGTGTTAAAAAAAACCAAACTGATCATTATTAAAAAAGGATTATAAAACCATGGAAGGGTGTTTTAAAGTGAGTTTTTCATTGCTTTTATTCAGTGCTAGTTCTATTGCCAAAGAGAGTGAGGTGTACCAGAGATTGTCCTCCACTGATGCTTATGACGAGATCCCCGAAGTCAAGGAGGAATACGACCTGGCACCTGACTTCCAGAGAATCCTCATAGCGGGCCATGAAAGCAGTGGGGTATACATATAATGTCACTGTATTGAGTAGCCAAGACAAAATTTCATGAAATGATATAAATTTTCTGACAATTGCCTACCTTGCCAAAAGCTCTTGCATTCATTTAAACATTTTTTTAGTTTAATTTACAGTAGATATGCATTATTTACATAATACCTAAATATTTTGATTTTGTAGCAGATGTTCATTCGATCTTCTATAGACTTGCTGTATATTTGCCAATAAGTAAACTGAATAGGTCAATAGAATATTAAGTGGACTTTAAGTATTCAATAATAAGATGCTGGAATATGATTTAAATAACCTGTATATTAAACATGTTTCTATATTAGGTGCCCATGCATGACTTAAAAGAGGCCTCTAAAAGCTTAGTGAAGGCTCTGATGATAAGGGAGAAGTTTATGGCCATGTCTCACCAATCTTTTCCTAAGATCACTGCTCGCTTCCTCCAAAATCTGGAGGATAATGAGGAATTTCAGGGCATGAAGGAAGGGTACGGGAAGGGATCAGGTATGAGATTTAGAAAAATTGGAATATTAAACGATGTTGTATGTACTGCATAAATTCAGATAATTTGAAATTCTTTCTTTTGCAATTTCCAATTGTGTCGAACTTTGTTTTAGATCTTTTAGCACTGTGTAAGTGTATTTTGTTATCTTTTTAGTAAGTGTTTTTAAAAATCTTTATCCTATAGTTATGAATCTTTTTTTGAGTGATGATAAAATCATGTGCTGCTTTCATGGTTGATGGAAAGAATCGTGTCAAACAAAACAGCATAAAAAAAAAGAGACTATGTAATAGTGAATGTACATCTTAAGAAATATGTATAAAATAGGAATTAGAGTGGAATGTAAAAATTCTGGTGAAAAACTTGCTGTTTCTAATGAGAAGAGATACAGATCTATATTCATATGCATGTTGTCAAATATGCATGAGGCTAATAGATCCGTGATATGTATGTTTAGAAATCGAGCTGTTATCTCTCTATGAAGAGCTTGTAGAGGCTGAAATTTACTTTAGTTATTTTCTTTGCATTTAATTTATGTTGGAGAAGTAGAGGTCTATGCATTGCACATAGAGGAAACAATTTTCATTTGTTTTGAAATATTGCTTCATATTTAGTTTTTCAATCTAACATTGCCATATCTTTGTTTTGAATTAAGATATGACGTTTTTGAAAGTCCAAGAAAATGTGAGACAGTCAATAGAGTTTTTAAGATTTAGATTTTACAGTATCCAGGTTAAATAGGATGTTAAATACATACCCATGTAAGATGGAAATAGCTCTAAGAAGAGAAAGCATTTGAACAAAAACATCCATGAATATACATGTAGACACACAGAATAGAAAACAAACTCTTAACTCTTTTGATATCTGTCTTACGAAATATCTTACACCTTGCAACAAACATTGACTCAACCCTCCAAAAAAAAAACAACCAGAAAACAGAATCTGTATAGGGTTGTGGCTTGATGAACACTGCTTTTGTTGTAGATATGGATGGACTAATACCGTACTTTGATCGTACAGGTATATAGGCCTGCAGTGTTAGGTTGCTTTCGTATTTGTGTGGTCTAGCAACTTTTAGAGTTCAGATATTTTTTTCTTGCACTTGAGTTCACTTACTACTTGTTCCTAATTATTTGCAATAAAGATCTTTAAGCTGCAAGGAAGTTTTGATAAGAAGTTTTGAATTTGAAAATTGTATTGTGATACAAGTTCCTAAAAAAAATACTCTTCCTAGTACATATAATAAATAAATGGATATTTTCTTTGTTTTATTATAATCAGACTACTGTTGGTTTTGTGAACTCAGGTATCTTGCACTAAAGTGAATAACATTTCATCATTAAACTCCTAAAATAACAAACATGTTCTGGGGATGAACTCCAGTCATACATGTGTGTCCTGTATGTTGATCCCTGCATGGGCTCCAAAAATATCATACAACCTGTATACAAAAAATCCCAGTTGCTCCATCTTTATTATTTCAAGAAAAACCTCAGGTGAATGCTTGATACTGCATATATGCGCAGCATAGAATTATTGTGCTTTTATATTTTTAGGGAGTTTAAAATGAACATAACTCAGTCAAATGTTTGTGGCTTTGATTGATCAATCATTCTGTCCATTTCTAATTGACATTTGTAGAAGTCACATGTAACACATGTGTTCCAGGAAAAATGGAAGAAAAAAAACTGCATATATTTCCATACACAATGGCTATTAAGCAGGGAAATTAAATGTTCACAATTCCAAAAATAAAAATATGATCAACAGATCAAGTTTAATGAGTAAAAATTTGATCATTTGTGGGAGACAAAACATTTTTTGCAGCTATGATATATACCAGGTATAATCCAGGTAGACCTTAGCCCATTAGCTATTTTCATTATAGTCCATACAGCGCTTGCTTGAAATGTCATTGTTCTTTTCTACTAACTTGTGATTAAAATCATTTTAAAGTAATTTAAATGGAAGAAAATCTCAAGCGGCTGAGGGTCTCGACTGCACCTGGACTCCCTTCTTGTGATTTTTCAGTCCATTATGTAGGCAGCTCTGAGATTGCATCCACACAGAAATATAGTTTTCGTGAACAATTATGGAAAGTTACTCTACTACTTATCATAGGGATTAAGATCTGAAAAAAAAAAATTATTTCTAGTGATCAAATACATGCAGTGCTACTCTCCAGAAAAGATAACCATGACTAATGACTGTCTGTTAACAGATATATAAACATATGTTTACATGTAACAGAATGGAAAATTACTCCAAATCTTCAAACAAAGCAATAAAAAGATGTCGAATTGATGTATTGGATTTATGCTTATTGCAACTTCTTGAGTTTTTATTTTCCTTAATTAATTACCGGTAATACACATTGTAACATTCATAGTAAGCATTCATTGAAGAACAGTTCACTATACAGTGAGTCTACATGCAGTGTATCCATGCATTCTTGTTTATATGAATAACATAGTTTAATTATTTCATAATTCTTTAAAATAATCTGATTCAATGGTTGATAATACATCTACCTACATTTAATTGTGTAATCAGTTATTTACATTAATTTTACTGACTCCCCTAAAATACAGTATTTACTGACAAGGTCTTAGGGAGTATATGGTTTTTGGTTCAACACTGACTTTGATACTAAACTTTTAAATCTTCCCATGTAGAGATTAAGTGAAACAGGTAGATTTTTTCATTTTTTTCCTAATTGTATTGGGATTGGTTTGGAATTTAAGATTAATATGCTCTCTCTCCAAAAAGCCCACATGAAATCCATGTGATGACATCTCTTGGAAAGGAAGGCATCTGTGTCATTCACATACATATTCCTTAGGCCTTCAGTGATCTAAGGAAAATGTTGGTTCTAGGTTGTTGCAGAACATGTTTGTCTAAATGGACAATAGGAAGTAACATTTTATTCAAAAGAACTTTTTCACGGAAAATAACAGGAGCGAAGGAAGTGAAACACATTACATTGGAAGAGATTGGGAAATTATGGGTTAAAATATATACACAAGGCTTTTGTATCAATTACACAAAAATAAAGTCATAAGAATAAGTTATCAATGGATCATCTCTTCGATTTACTTGATGAACGAATTTTGGTTTGGTTGATCCAAGATTGGTAGATGTCAGATGGAATTTGTATTAATTGAGGCATAGATTTTTTTTTTCTTGAAAGTATCTGGGGGAAAACTAAAATTCCAAATAAATTATGTTTACATTAAAAAAAAAAAAGACTCCAGAAGTAGTTTCAGTTATAAAGAATTCCAAATAAAGCTTAAATGCATTTAGCTACTTTTGAAGTTCTATGTTGAATGTAAGTACATGAAGAATCATTATACTTTTACAAAAGATTAATTGATGAGCTTGCTTTCCCATAATAGTCATATGAAAAAGAATTTTTACCAGTTTCAAACATACATGTAGAATGTGCCTTTCCTTGAAAAAATTCATCATTTTATACCACTGATGCATTGTTTCTTTGCATTTTCTCTCAACTTGTACATACAAGCACTTTTAATTTTTAAATTTATTTGGTCTCGATACAAAAATTGCTTGCTTCTAAAATGATTACTTCAAGATAGATGCATTTTTATCCTTTTCTTGGCTTAATTTTCATGAATGATATTGAGAATATGGACAGTACAGTTGTATGTATAGTGATATAGAAGAAAATTCAGATTGATAATTATCTAAGCTTGCATCAGCAATTCATGCCCTCCAAATTCAACATCCAACTGTATTTCCAATTTTACCAAAATCCGTTGGTTTGAAGGTCAAGAAATTGAAACTAAATGTGGACCATGTAAATTTTAAAGAAATGCAGAGGAGTGGTCCAATATTGTTGTGGGTTTTTTGCTTGTACAGTATATAAATGTGAATATGGTATCTAATTGTCCTGTGATGGCACTGAAAGTACTGCCAAGGAAAGGCCTCAATTCTACAGGCAGTTTTTTGTATAACTAAGTATTTCTCACAACAAAAGACTTAATATTTTTTTTAATTAAAGAAAAAAGAACAATTTATCATATATCAGATCTCATTGAAATAATTGTACATTTATGATTTGTTTTACTAATGAATCTCACATTTTAATCATAGCGATGTGTATATATTTACAGATGAAATGCATGCACATGATTGAATACTTAACAATAATTTTTTTGTATGTTTAATTTTCAAAATAAATATACATGATGATCATTAACTAGTAATGAATATTCATGCATAGAGCTACATTTATAATGCACTTAACATAAGTAAAACAGGTTATATCATATATAATCTGATCTTTTTCAGTTTCGGATCATCCATTTCATCCCCCCAAAAAGGAGGATCCATTTGATATAGAAGTCCCAGCAGGGGTTGAGTGTTGTCTGAAAATGGTGCAGGGTTTGGTGTATGTGTATGAAAACAAAGAGGCCATGGAGAAGGGCGTCCCTCTAGAGCTTCCTTATGTTCAGCCAAAAACATTCTTAGCGGATCAAAACATTATGTATGCTCTAATCAGTGATGGACCTCTGTAAGTTTGATATAGGTATTGTTTTGTAATGTGAAATTAAAACTACATTTGTATATATATTTAAAATCTGATCATAACCAGACAGTAGATATTGGATTCATGATGGTACAGCTAGGTTTCGGTAGTGAACTAGCATCTATCAAAGAGAAGCAGAAATTGCAATTATTTAAGATTGTCATATACAGTGTATCATTTGAACTGTACTTTAAATCTTCAAAGTAGATAGCCGATTTTTCTGCCAGATTATGCTTTTTGTACCCAAATGTTGAGATATCATTGCAGTGTTGTAGGTTGATTGAGAAAATGCAGAGCTTCTTTTATTTGATTTTATAGGAAATCCTTTTGTTACCGAAGATTGAGTTATCTTTCTTCAAAATACCAGCTTCATACTCTAATGAATGAGTTGAAAGAGTCTGCTGCCCAGAAAGAGGTACCACACAGGGACTTCTACAATATCAGGAAGGTATATAAAACCTTGATTTGCGAGGTCTATAACAGTAACACTATATACTGTCAAATTCTAATGATTTCACAAAAACATATTTTATCGATCATTATGATGGTTTACATTTGTGATCAAGTCTTGTAAAGAAGTACAAAAACTCTGTACAAGCATGTACATTTTGATATGTACAGTTGAACATCAGTATCTCAAACACTGATATCTCAAATACTATGGATATGTCGGAGTGATTTGGAAGTCCCAACTTCTCATTTAAGTATTTTTCCCTCGATATCTCAGAAGTTTTTTCTCGGTCCCATCGAGTTTGAGATAATGAAGTTTGACTGTATATGTAAAAGATTGTTGCAAAATGATTTTAGGTGGATACTCACGTTCATGCTTCTTCGTGTATGAATCAGAAGCATTTACTAAGGTTTATCAAGAAAATGATGAAGACACGATCAGATGATGTGGTCTGCAAGGACAAATCATCAGGAAAAGAAATGACACTTTCAGAAGTAAGTTTTGTTTTAATTTCTCAAATTTTATATCAATAATTTATTGTTATAATTTTGTAATGGCTGTTTATTTAAGGTATCACTGTCTAGTTAGTAGAGTATGCCAGGACATCAACGATAGTTGGAAACGTGTGATAATTTGCATAACGTGCGAAGCCTGTTATGCATAAATTATCCCACGTTTCCAACTATCGTTGATGTCCCTGGCATACTCTACTAAGTAGACAGTGATACCTTATATTTCCATTTCGTTGTGAAATAAAATTGTAAATTTAGATTTTAAAGATGTAGATTAATAGATTTAAATTGCACGAGGCCTCACATGTCAATTTCAATAGTCCCTGCCCACTGACGTCAAACACAAAGACAGCCGCACGAGAATTACATGGATATTAGGCCTTCTTAGCTCCTGACCTTTTGCTTGGCGAAATTTACATTCTAGTAGAATGATCAAGAAATCAACTCAACTAACTTTCAAAGAGTTATCACAGAGAAAACAAATAGAAATGGAAATATTTGTGTATCAGTCTTGTCAGTTTATTAGTTGACACTCATGTCTATTTGATAAGAAAAGTAAAACATCAAACTGATTTTTTAATAATTTCTTTGCAGGTTTAAAAAGTAAAATGTATCGACTTTTATCTAAATGAATATAATGTATACTGCAGAGTTGTCGAAATTCTTATATCACTGTCAGACATTTGGTCTGACAAAATTTTTTCAGTCCAGATATATGTACTGTAGGGTATTTTGTACAGAAAGGAAAATAAATAACTGCACCAAAATGCCCTTTATTGTTTTCAACTGTATTCCATCTCGCAATTTTCTTATTTTTATGGATAAAGAGTCCTTAATCGGAGACAAAAATAACATGTTTTATGTCTCTGCCTTGACCAAAATTTTTAACCTCTGTTACCACGTAGCCATCTTTGGGGGTTGGGGGGGTTGTTGACCTTCACCTGCGCACCTCAATTCTGATCTTTTATAAATTTGCATCATATCCGATTTTTTTCAGTCTGTCATTTGGGCCAAAGTTTTCTAGTAAGTTATCGATCCAAACAATTTTTTTTCCAACCTTGTCAGCAGGAAGGACGGTTTTCGACAACTCTGATACTTAATTAATTTTATAGTATTCAATGTTGTTTGACTCAAATACATGCAATTTTATACAAATTGAATTTATTCATGAATTTGAGACATATCCTAACTTTTTTGTTCCCTCATTTATAGAACCTTGATGTGTGATGTTAATACACAATTTACATTTTTAGGTTTGTAGGAGTCTGAATTTATCTTCCCACGAGTTAAGTGTGGACATTCTTGATGTTCATGCTGTAAGTCAGTAACACCTTTTTGCTTGCAGACATCGCTGGTTGTTGAACCTCCTTGTACATGTATTTATGTACAGCCACCTTTTTTTTTTTTTGTTGCAAAGCACCAAGTACTCAAAACTCCATATAATTTTAGGAGGAGTTTGTGTAATGAAACATTTTTCCCACAAGAAATGTTATTTTTCATGATTTTCCCAAAAATTCAAGTTCTAAATTTGTTTTGCATCTCGATTACCAGTATGCAGAGAATTAAACTTGAAATTTTTTCTATTTGAAATTTTCTATAAAACTACGTTTCAGATTGCTTAAAAATTTCTCTAAAATCCCACATTTTCTGCATCAGTTTTTTGAAATTAATATCCATCATCCAGAATATGGTATGATTTAAACCATTTGGTAAGGAAATCATAGGGGAAGTGTTTACCACAGGCTTCCTTGAATTAGGGAGTTTTGGGTATTCTTATGTAACCTTTCTTTAGTATAAATAAATATCACCTGCATGATTTTCTGCCCTCTGTTCTGATCAGGTCTTTGACAGCATGGAACTCAAGCCGTATGACCTAAGTGTTGACAAGCTTGATGTGCATGCGGTAAGTCTCTTCATACCCTGATATTCTATAGCTAAACCAAATCTAGAAGCTTATAGAAAGGCAATTTATTCTGAAGTAAGCAAACTGAAAATCTGTTCAATACGAAATGTTCTTAATTACAGTTGTGTTGGAAGACAATATTACCTTTTCTGGGAGAGTTTGTTTTGGGCATGGTAGAAAAAAACATTTTTAAGTGCTGTTTGCCCAACTAAATGATAATTTTGATAGTTTAAAACATTTAAAAGAAATTTTAAAGAAATTATTCTTATTAAGATTGTGACAAGGTCAAGGTAGGAATTTGACAACAGTTATAAAAATTTTATGCAAAATAAATAAATGAATAAATAAATAAAATAAACTTTATTGATAAGATCCTTGCATATATGTATAATTTGTTTAAGGAAGAGATTGCAAGGGTCCATGAAAAAAATCCGCTCTATGAATTTTTCTCATTTTTACATATAATTTGCCTTACGTTAATGGTATCATAATATGAAAATGTCAACCATGGTCATCAGGGTTATAAAGAAGATATGGTTGCCATGGTAACCACCGTTTTTCAATATTTTGATATTTATGTAGTGAAATTTTAAGTATGCCATACAGATATCAAAATTGAAACAAATTAAATAATTTTCACCAGATATTAGATAATATGCTTCATATTCATTGAAAATAAAAATTATATCGGAAACTATTGATAGATATAGTAATGCCACAGTTGCTTTGGGGAGTAGTCATTGTAAATTTGCAGTTATATTTTCGCCCCAGGAGCAGTTTTCAACGTCTTGACAAAAAATTGCCCAATGAATTTTCCTAAAATTGATATATTTTGTAACAATTATTATAAGTGACTAATGGTTAAAATATGAAGTGGGGTCATCACATTCTTTTTTAAGCTACATGCATTTCAATACCCCCCCCCCTTCCTAAAATATTAAAAGTCTTCATAAATTTTAATCTGATGGTTTGTTGCTGAACCTTTAAAGTGCATAATCTGTTAAAAGACTATAAAAAAAAAACAATACGTACAGATTAATAAAATATTATTTTTTTTCCTGAAAATCTTGTGGTGGTTGCTCATTTTATACGTAGAGCAGAATGATAGCAGAATGATATAAGTATCATGTACACAAAAAACAACAGTATGCACATTTTTTTTTTATTTTTCCATCTCCAAAATATTCATTCCGTTATTATTTCAATATAAATATATACATTCTAAACCGGTGCACAGTGGTCCAAGGGCCAAATTGTTCATGCTCTGAACACTCATCGAGGTCTCTGCACTGTGACTTGGAATCGGAAAGGGGGGGGGGGGGGTTAGTCACTTGAACACATTGAATGAGTAGATTATTTCAGACTTGTATCTGCAATATATACGGTATATAAAATAAATTCTAGCTATTATCTTATTTGGCAAATTTTATTGATTTGCTATGTAATATTTACATTTGCAAATATTTTCCCTACACATTCATTGCAAGTTAGAAAACAGTTCATTTTCTCATGAACTAGGTAAGCCTACATATCTCCATTGTGACGTCATAATGCCACACTTGACGTCAAAACTATAGGCCTAGTGCAAAATGTTTTGTTTCCAAAATAATGGTTGAATGACTTTTATATATTTGCGCTTCATGATCACGCGGTTCATGAAATATGCTGAGGTGAAGCGTCTTTGTTCATGTCCTCGTGAATTTTCAAAAATTAAATTAATTTTCTAATATATTCCCTCGAGCATGATGAGTTGAATTTTTTTTTTTAAATGTATATAACGTTATGCTCAAAATAATTTTCTTTCTCAGGTATGCCTGGTACCTCCGTAGTTCCTCGATTGTCAGAGTTAACCTTCTTACATGCGTATTTATTGATAGATTTGTGAAAAATTGCAAAAAGAAACCTTTCTTTTCTTTTCAGAAGAAGTGTGTTGAGTTTCAATTCTTTTACCAAATACGACGCATAAAACAATTTACTACAACAAATGTTTACGCAATATATGTGCCGATGATTCAATGTTTACAATGTACATGGTCGATGTAAGCATTGAAAATGCTAGAGAAGATCTTACAGAGGAAAACAATTTCCTCTGCGATATATTTTTAAAATAGTTCATGTCCAGCATGCAACCTGGAATTGGTCTATACACGTAAATATGAAAATCGCTTTCGTTTATGCTTCCATATAGGCCTACATTCATTATAATCACTGAGAAAATCACGCCGTCTGAAGCTTTTAGGAAATGATTGTCTATTCATAGATGTAAACCCTATAATAAAAAAAAACCGATCTCAAATAAAATTCTAGTATTTTAATTAAAACTAAAGGACGTAAAGATCCAAGTATGAATTAAATTTATTTATGAAACAGATTACAGCGTTCAGAACTACGACAAAGGCTAGACGTGTCAAAACGAAAAAAACACATGTATAAAAAAAAATCTGCGTCGACGCTCACCAACACTCTGCAACATCACATCTTTAGGGCCTATCTTATTTTTTCTCCGTTTAAAAAATATTGCCACGAAAACCTTTTGTCATGGGCGTAATCATAATCACGCTCCTTATTCCGGAAATGGTTACCGTAAATCTTCTTTTTTTAATCATCAAATGAGTCGATCATGTGACGCCATGCAATCGCTTCCTTAAAGCTTTCATTTTATATTTGTTTACAATTTGCTTTTTCATGTATATAGCTTTGCTTTATTAATGAGTCTTTGAGTTTCATTATTTTATTATATTTAATTGTGCATATATACATGTTGTAGTCCTGATCGCTTTTGCACTTGTATTAAGCACAACAGTAGTCTACAAAATTAATTGTAAACAAAAGTACAGAGATTTTTCTCAATTAATATTGTTAGTTGCTAGCTGTATCAAATGCAGGTGCCAGCTATCATACTCCCTCTGACGCCGTTAGCTTGTAAGTTAATCTGTCAAGACCATTCTGAGACATAACTTGAGAATAACTTTCTTGTGGAATAACTTTTTTATTCTCGTAATATTCGCAGCTAGGATAAGGCTGTCCGAAGAATGTCACAGTGTACCAGCAGTAGTAACTTCTCTGAAATACCTAGATATGACGTCATAATGGCATATGACGTCAAGTCACTGCAAACATGATGGGGAAAGTATCGTAACTTTTACATTCCTTTCACATGACATGTAGAATTTTTTTTACGTGGATGTTTATTTAATGTGCCTGGATTGTTGTTTCAAGCTTCAGTATGTTGTTATAATGGTGAATATTTGCAGTATAATATCGTTATTCCTTTTTCTTGTCTGACATGTGCATATTCAAACAATTACAGAAAATGAATGTGAAATATACGTCGGTAGACAGAGTCAGAATTTATAAATCGTGTATAAATTAGACTGGCACAAGTGAATAATAAGTATAGATTGAAGATATTCTGTGTGAATCTACTAGAGAAATATGTCCTCTAACTGAATTTTGCTGGGAGATTTTATGTAATTCATTCCATGTTGTATAAATTGCAACGAAGAGTGAAAAATGCCCCCTTGTATGTGGGTAAGTTTAATTTCTTGTGAAATATTTTCTTAAGAAATAAAATTCAGACTTGCCCCCAGCACTTTATATATACCCAAGGATATGTTTAATTGATTTGTGTAACAAGCCGTTCACACTAATTTTGTTTTTCACTTGTGCCGATGCGATTTTTGTGCAACATTTAAGAAAATTTATAAGTGTCCGTCACGTGATCAACACAGTCATGTGACATCACAAAAATGCTTTTTTATAATACCTTATTCAACTCTCTTGACAACTTAACTGTGCATGTATACATAGATTATAAATTGAAATCAAAACTTAGCTCAAAATTAAATAGTATATATTTTATGCATATAAAGTGTTCGGACAGCCTTATCATAGCTGCGTAGTTTAAGGATGATCAGAAGAGCAGATTTAGGGGTCACTTGAACAAAGGCCAAGGTCAAGATATTCAATGTCTGTGATTTGATATCTTAATTTCTTATGAGCCGATGACTTCATATTTACAATAAAATGGATGGAGTAGAAAATGTTTACATCTAAAGGTTTTTGGTCATTCTATAGAAGTTCAAGGTCAAAAATGCAAAATGATTAAAACATCTGTCAAAATTTTTGTGATGATTAAAGTCCTGATAAACAAAATGACCTTTTATATGCTATACAGATGGAGGAAGGTAAGAGAGGGTCATTTTTCGATTTTTATGGCATTGAGCAGAGCTTGAAAGCCATCTAACATTCGATCTATTGTACAAATCAATATCTTTTGAAAAATGCTCACGATGAATACTAACTTGAAAATATATTGCATCAATTGTATCTACAATTCTGATTTTTTTTTTTTTTTTTTTTTACAAAATGCTAATACAATTTAAGGAAAGAGAAAAGCAGGGGTCATAGAATATTTAATAGTTGCTGCAGTTGAATTTTAAATGATATCAATAGACACATAGCTAGGGAACTTTCAGGGAAAATGTGCTTTAATTAAAAAAAAACTTAAAATACTTATAAAAAAAGAAAAAAAACAATGCTTAGATATTGATAAATATTGAATAATACAGAATAGAAGAAATTTAATCAATCAACAGACTAAGAAGAGATGTGTTAATTTTTTACAACAAGAAAAACAGCTGACATCCATGTTTGTTCCTTTTTAAAGAGGTTAATATATACCCTGTTCTATTTGGACCATTGCATAAGGCCCCACAACTATTATTGTCATGTTTTGTTAATAATGTTTAATTTAATATTTAATTCAAAAGAATTTTCATGTCCAATGCCATTGAAGCCTTTCAGGCCTTTGATTCTTTACTTGATCAATAGAGGCAGAAGATAGTGAATTTAAACACATTAAGATTTTGGGTCCCAAAATACAAGGTCCAAATGTCAAGAATATTGAAATTTATATGCTGTACGGCCCTCTATAACTTTATCCATTTACAAGTTGAATTATTTTTAAAAAATTAAAAATGAAATTTTTATTAAGGATCGTAACACCTTCCATCGATTTGATAAGTTCAACGCAAAGTACAATCCTATAGGAGAGAGTCGACTGCGAGAAATCTTCATCAAAACAGACAATTACATCAATGGAAAATACTTTGGACATGTGATAAAAGTAAGTTAAGATGTACAGACATACCAAGAAACTGGATAAGTAGGAAGTACATGTTCTGTTAAAATAAGTTATCAACAAAGATAAACCAGTATACTGAACTTTAAAAAAAAAAATCATTTTGGGTTGTAATTAGTGTACTGAAGATTCGCATAAGTTGTATTTATACATAGAAGTACCTATGTAATTGAATTAAACCTCTTTGAATTTTCAGGAAGTTATGGAAGATTTAGAAGAAAGCAAGTACCAGAATGCAGAGTACCGTCTGTCCATTTATGGTCGATCACGAGACGAGTGGGACAAACTAGCCCGCTGGGCCATAGCCAATAAAATCTACTCAGACAATGTCCGCTGGATGATCCAAATCCCAAGGCTCTAGTATGAAAAAAATTTCTTTTAATGGAGTATAAAGTTTTACTTGGCATTATTATAAATTTTCAGACAACTGATTTTTTTTTATGTGGTGCTTTATGACAGATGTGACATAGTTGCTCTTTCCTTTGGATGCACAGTTGGAAAATTATCCAAATCTGTTTTTCTGTCACAGAAAATGATAAGAATTTTATTCATTTCTAGTGATATCTACAAGAGTGCCAAGATTGTGAAGAATTTCCAGGAAATTTTAGAAAATGTCTTTATGCCTCTATTTGAGGTGACTAGAAATCCCCAGTCACATCCAGAACTTCACAAGTTCCTTATGTATGTAAGTATCTGTACGGTAATCATGCACACTTAAAACTTCACTAAGTAGGAAATCTACATAATTCTAGGTACAGCCATTCATACATTAGTAGCTATGAGTACTGTGTATTACTGGACAGCTCTAGATTATCAGGATCATCAGGATTTCTGCTGTACTATTTCCTGATACATGAATATGCAAATTGTTTGCATAAAGTTAGAGAGAATGCTGATGTTAACATTAATGGTAACAAAGATAAAAATTACATCTTAGGTTTGATTAAAAAAAAATAAGTGAAATTTAAGTACTCTGTGAGATTTGAATCTAAATTACACTGTATTAAATTTTTCTGAGTGAAGAGCTTAAGTGAGTGTTCCTGATACAAAGAAATAAATATGTTATCTTCATGTGGGTAATCTGTTTATGAATTTTTCACATTTTCTTATTCTCCAGAATACTGATGGGCTATTGACTACCAAACTTGCCTCTTTGCATCATTTGTAAAGGAGTTTCAAGCCATTCCTTTCAGAGGGAAGATGATAAAATATTATTAAAAATTCATCTTAAGTGTTCTTTTTAATCACTTTGCTAGAATGCAAATCTTGTGTGAATTTTGTATTAAATGAATGGTTAGTGGGGTACAAAACTTTACAAAAAACATACAGGAAAGGTATGACTGTGATCTGATATTAAATAAACAATCATCATCATCTACCTCTAATTTAAGGCTGTTTATGTCATGGCACCAGGTCACCAAGATAGAACCACAGTGGTTCAAATGTTTACACTTATATTTATTTGTGTAGATTCAACTTAAGTTTGTTCAAATAATGGTCTGTGGACTTGTAATGAGTTAGCCAAATAAGGGGGATCAAGTATTCTTCTTTAACATTGGCATTATTAGGAGAAAATTGGTGTTAAAATTAGAGGGGGGGAAGTGTGTATTATAAGAGATGAATTTAATTTTTGAGAATTCATGAGGACATGAAGTACGACGCTTCGCGCCGGCATATTTCATGAAGTGCGTCAGTGTTTCATGATAAATATACATGTGTGAAGTGTTGTAGCTCATGTACCTCATGAATTCTCAAAAATTAAATTCATATCTTATTAAATTATTTTACTGATGACTTGCCACATATTTTTGTTATTCAACAATTATTTTTGGAAAAAAATGTTTGCACTATTTTTTGACTTCAATTACATCACAATGGAAATATCTTTACTTGTACCACGGTAGTTCATGAGAACGTAAACTTTTTCTAATTTGCAAAGAATCCTAAGTAAAAATATTTGGAAATGTAAATATTTGCTGATAAAATGTACACATGTCACTTCTCTTTATAGGTGAGTGGATTTGATTCCGTGGATGATGAGTCTAAGACAGAACATATAAAGTTTGACATGGAGACCCCCCTCCCCCAGGACTGGTGTCAGGACGAGAACCCCCCATACAGTTATTATCTCTTCTTTATGTATGCTAACATCACAGTTCTCAATCAGTTCAGAAGGTCAGTATACATATGAAATCTAGTAGTCTAGATTAATTAAAGAAGGATTTTAATAGATACCCAAGTTATACTGGGGCAGTTTACGCTTTATAAACTACAAAGCTGTTTATAAAAAAGCGTAAACTGCTCCAAGCCAGGTTATACCAGTATAACTTGGGTGGCTATTAAATCCATTCCTTATTATTTAATTTTCCATCATTAAGGCCATAATAAAAAATTCCTAGATTCTCATCCCCACCCGCCCCCGATTTTTAACCTCCACCTGAAATGTTTTATTTCTGCTTTTCTTCTTCTTAATTCTGGTCAGGATCGGTATTCAACTACCATTCAACTTTCGTTTAAAATCCTGCGAATGTCGGCATGATTTTGACAGCTGACAAGATGGTAATTGCTGCAATATGTATTAAACAAGGATCATTGGTTGTTAAAGATTAGTGAAGACGTGTAGTAAGAGATATGCATATTTAAAATGACCTCTGCTATGACTTTTATTTGGGCATTGTAGATAAATCTGCACCGATTGATCAACTCAACAAAAAATCGGCACATGGAAAAAATGAAAATGTAAAATAAAATCCGCCCGTCCACCTCGATTTTTTAAAAAATTCGAATGAGAATTTAGGAATTTTTTTATTATGGTCTAAGGGTAAAAAGGAAGACAATTTCTTCTTTAAAAATGCCTTCAAATAATACGTATTTTAAATGTAACGTCAAGTGGATTGATATGTTTTTGACGTAAGTCATTGTGACAGAGGCAACCCAGGTTATACGATATATTCTAATTTTTTTATCCAATCAAATGATGCATTACAACCAAAATTAAATTATTCTACTTTAATTGCAGAAGCTCAGAGAGTACTAAAGTTATCAATATGAAAACATTTTTTCAATATATGAATTTCTGCCTGACTTTTAACACCAAAAGGAGTCTTCTTTGTGTCATAGGGAGTTATGATACAAGATTTCATTGCAAAAGCTGAAGGTTTTAGAAACTAAAATGTCACTGAGAGACAGAATGATGGACAGATTGATACACCCAAATTATCCCCTGCTTTAAGTGAAAGCAGGGAACAAATATATACCTGTATACAGTTTTTTTTTTTTATCAGATATGTTTTTTTCAGCATGTATGCAATATGTCATGAGGTGATTTTGTTTTCAGGGAGCGGGGATTTCCAACCTTCACCTTGCGACCCCATTGTGGAGAGGCTGGCAATGTCACACACTTGGTGGCTGGTTTTATGCTGGCAGAGAATATTTCCCATGGTCTCGTCCTCAGGAAGGTAGGGTGCATGTTTGCTGTTAAACTTTTCAGAAGTTGTCAACAATTTACAAGGAGTTGAATAGAAGACAAATTTTAAATTTTACACAAGCTTAAATTCAATTCAGATATCTAAAATTCATTCTAAAGATATAACTTAAAGTTTGCATAAAGTAAAAAAAAGTTGTATTTAAAAAATGAGATACATGTATTTGTATAGAAACTGATGTTTATATGCATGTTTTAACATTATCCTTATTTTTGGCACAAAGTAAAACTGCTATAAACCAGTCTTCCTTTGTCTTTGATTAACTTATGAAAGTTTTGCAAGGACAGAGATATTCTCAATTTTGGCACTTTTTATGTTTTATAAATCTACAGAATTTTCAAGAAAAAAAAAGAAAATCACTTCTTTTTCCTGTAAAAGAGAAAATAAGTAAAGAAAAAAGGAGAATGGTTAACAGTTGTGTTTAGACTAAGTCAATATATTAAAGAATAAATATATATATATATATATATATATATATATATATCAGCTTTCAGATTGCTTTGCTTTATGTTACTAGGTTCCTGTATTGCAATATTTGTATTACTTGGCACATATTGGCATAGCTATGTCACCATTAAGTAACAACTCACTGTTCCTCAACTACCACCGCAATCCACTGCCAGAGTACTTCGCTAGGGGCCTTAATGTCTCCCTCTCCACGGATGATCCACTGCAGTTCCACTTCACCAAGGTATGTCAAATTGGCCTCAACTCCCCATGTACTTTGATGATTTATTGGAAATTCCACTTCACAAAGGTATGTCAAATTGAGACCTCAACTCTCTTTGTCCATTGATGAGTTGTGTTACAAAGGTGTGCCCATTAGAAACCAATCTCCTTCTCCATGCACTGTTGATTGGCTGTATTTCCACTATACAAAGATATGTCCAATGGAAACATAAAGTCTCCTTTTCCATTGATTCACACAGTAGTAAGTTCTACTTCACAAAGGGATGTCCACTGAAGACCTCAAGTCTCCCTCTCCACATATAATTCACAATAGTCACACTTTATAGAGGTATGTTCAGAGGGAGCCTTAAGTCTCCCTTCCACAATCACAGAAGTGCTACTTTACAAGAGTCAGATGGAGTCCCTCTCCACTGAATGCCATCTTCTCTGACAATCTCCCCCCCCCCCCCCCCCCCCAAAAAAAAAAAAAAAGAAAAAGAACTTTTAATCAGTTATACTCAGTAGTGTACTTTGGTATTGTAGCTGCTTCAGTTCTAAACAGTGTCTGTGAAAGCAAATATACCCATTTAGGATTTTTACACATATATATATTGCTCATTGTATAAGGATACATGCTTGATGCTTATGCACTTAAAAACCCCACCTACTACGTGTAGCCTAATGCTTTATTGCAAGCCATAGAGGAAAGACTTCATATGTAAAACAGTATTCTCTGTATTCCTCATTTTGGCAATACAGTTGCCAGTTCTACAGTACCTGTGGTTCCTGTCTCAGCAGGGGATAGCCATGTCCCCCCTCAGTAACAAATCCCTTTTTCTGACCAGTTATTCCACCCATCCATTTCCAGTGTTTTTCCACCAGGGTCTAAATGTGTCCCTGTCTTCTGATGGGCCTCTGCAGTTTCATTTAACAAGAGTAAGGCTTCTCCCACTGTAAAATGTTCAATCGATTTTCCTTAATTTAATTCATAAATAATGTAGTTCCATGTTTGTCCTAACTGGTGTGAGATGTATTCTTAAAACAGAAATGCATAAATATGGATTGATTCTAACTTACAAATGAGCAATTTGTTTTGAATAATTTTTTTTTTTGTTTTACAACAATTCTGCATGTTTTTTCTATATACCAGTTTGTATGAATTGAACAGGAAGCACTGATGGAGGAGTACAGTATAGCAGCCCAGGTGTGGAAGTTATCGACGTGTGATATGTGTGAGATTGCTAAAAACAGTGTACTGCAAAGTGGATTTGAACATGAGGTATAGAGATAATTTTATTTGTCAGTATGCATAAATAACATGTGAAAATTAATTGCTGAGAAGAAAGTATGTGAATTTATTTATTTAAAGGTGAAAAAGCATTGGCTAGGGCCAAATTATACAAAGGAAGGTGTGGCAGGAAATGATGTCAGCCGTACCAATGTTCCAGACATCCGAGTCGCGTACAGGTACGAGACCTTAGTGGAGGAACTGAAGTGTATCTGTCGTGGTGCTAAGATGTATGACGAGTGTATGGATTCAGTGTCTCCCTCAAGTTAAATAGGCCTCTCGATCCCAAACCCCTGCTTCCATATTCCCTTCCCATCATGGGATTTGTGACTTGCCAGTGATACTAGATGAAAGCTTTTTATTTATAATAATTACGTGTAATATTTGTTGTTTATTCACAAATTTTATCAAGTTGGGCATTTACGTAGTTATGAATGCATTTTTAGTTATTAGTATTAGTGGCTTATTGTAAAATCAGAATTTTTAACCAATGTCTTAAACTTTTAGTGCTATTTCCCCACTATAGATTTATTGATTTGTCCTTCCATTGTACAGTTGTATTTCTTAATCAGGTCTGACAGATTATGTAAAAAATATACTATTTGTTATTAATTGTATTATTTGGGATAGAAAGCAATCATTCTTGTGTGCAATAAAACTTTGAAGATGAACTTAACGTTTTAAGGTGATACATGTACCTCACATTTTAAAGAATAACTTCAGGTGTAGCTTTGATTTCATAACAGCATGTTTCTGAAAATCTGTAGATTAGTAATAGATAAGGATTTTTCTTTGGTATTTAATTTAGTTATGAGTGACTTATCTAATATGTTCATTAAACTATTTTATGTGTATTCTAGTCCTTATTTATTGTAAAGCATTCCTGTATCTTTCAATTGCAATTAAACTTGTAAACATTATGTAAAATTATTTGTGCATTCTTTTCATGAATGTGTATAAATTTTATGAATTCTAAACATTTTTTTTAGAAACATATGCATTTTCTTTGATTTACAAATGATGGCTTAATTTATGATATGTTTGTTTGTTGCTAAAAATGAATGACTCCTCTCAAGTCTTTTATTTACATGTATCTGAGAACATTTGGTTATTCTGTGACAAAAACCTTACATGTATTTTCGCAAGATAGGTATTTGGTATTTATAAGCAAACAAATTTTCACAAATTCTGGGTTTTATTGTATATATTCTATACTTACATGTATGAAAATATATGCACGAATGAAATTTTCGTAAGCAGACCATCTTGCGTAAATACGCGAAAATAAAGTTCTCGTGAATAGAAAGTAATTTTACAGTTATCCAAAGTAATGTCACACATACAATAAAATCTTAAATGATAAGTCATCAAAAAGTGTACTTATCTTATTCTGTTATATATAATATTTTTTAAAATATTAAGATTAACACATAGGATTCATGTGATAAATATGTTACGGACATCTTTTTGATGTTACTTTTTGGAGGTTATTTTCAGTTCATCCACAAATCAACACACACATCTAACTTTCCATGCCTTTATATAATCTTCAATGGCTCTGTGCTGATAAACATCTGGCTTTGAGTTTTCTTAAAAAATTATTTGAATTGTCCAAAGTTTTTTCCATTTTCATTCCATTGTGCAAAGATTTTCTCAATGTAGCATCAGATTCAATAGTAAGTGAAGTTAGGTTGACTGATCAAATAGTAACTTCTTCCTGCTCTGTTGAAATATTGAAAAGTTTGAAACCTGATAAAATGTCAATACATAACATCAAACAGTTTACTAAAGATAAGAGTAATAGTTAATTTTATATATAAGGTACTAGTACATGTAGATAAAATTGTTACATTGAATACTTTTATAAATGGAGATCAAGAGATAAACAGATGCGAGGAAGAAAAATAAGCATGGAGGATCAGTCAATCTTTAGCGTCACTAACTGTAGAATCCGAAGCTACCCAAGATCTACACACAGTAGAGTGAAAATGAAGTTTGGAATAGTTGAAATAATTTTAATAAAAAGCTCAGTGTAAGATGTTTTGGTGCAAGCCACAGTGTGGATTACTAAAAAGCATCAAAATAAAAGGTTTGTCAGAAATAAGATGGATTCATGGATGAACTAAAAAAGAGTTTGGAAAAGTTGCATTATGAGAATGCCAGTAGTTGTAATTATATATTTAAAGTGTTATAGATATCTGAATGAAATTTTCAGGTAACAGTGAAAATAATTAGGCATTAGCAAATAAAATTTTGTTGATTACTTTCTTTTGTTACAGATTTTATAGCACTGGAGACATTACTTTAGTATCAACACTCGACATACATGTATGTATGGCTTTATGGTGGGAAAAGCTATTGTTTATGATTGTTATTGTCTGAATCTCCGAAACTACATGTCTAAAATGAAATGAATGTTAGCTAAATTGTACAAGTTGTTATACTCCATATTCTTTTTTTTCTCAAGCTCTATCTTGCACTATTTTAGCTGTAATGTAGAAAATTTTATATGTCATGCCTTAATTAATTTAAAAAAATAAATAAATTTCACTGTGCATTTGTTTATACATGTCTAATACCAGTATGACCTGACCATGCTTGCCTAATAATTTGTCAGAATAAGAGTAATTATTTTGACAAATTTATTTGATGTTATTTTGACAAAATTCATTTAATATGTGTAAGAGACTGTTTCACCTTTTAGTGCTTTGATTTTCAATGTATTTACATGCAGTGCTACATGCTCTACATATGTTACATAATATCAGTTTGTGTTGCATAGATGTCTTATTAAAGTGTCTTTACTGCAATCTGAAAAGGGTTACTTTGTTTTGGAGAATGGTCAGCAATTGACAAGAAAAAATCTTAATTATTCACGAGTCAGGTTCTAATTAGAACACTTGTTTCATCAGAAAACCAGGTTTTTCAATGTATAAACTTTTAAGTCATTTACCAGTGACTGGCGCGTGGCGCAGTGGTTAGAGTGTCTGCTCTAGAAACGCGGAGTAAGGAGTGGATCCTTACGTCGCGGATTCGAATCCCACTATTGGACGGGGAGACCGGTCCTTCGGATGAAACCGAAATCCCGTGTCGCAGTAGGTGCTGGTACGATAAAGATCAGATCCCTCACGGTTCAATGGGCCTAAGTGCCGAGTATAGGTAAAAATTTGCAGCTCTCCACCGGCAAGTGGTGACGTCTCCATATGAGTGAAAATTCTCGAGAGGGACGTTAAACAACAAACAAAACCAGTGACTGGATATCGTTTAAACTCAAAATTCATATATAAGAAATATTTATTATTCGTTATTGATTTTCAAGAAAGATTGTACTTGCATTTCATTTGCAGGAAGAAAGCAGCTAAGACTTTCATCATAGCAAATGTCCCACAGCTAGGCGCATAGTGGACACTTACTCTGTCCAACAGAAAGCGACTGTCATTTATTGCATAGGAATAAAATAAAATGAAGTTAACATATGAGTTTGAAATATCGTAAAAGGTGCCAAAGTTGCAAATGGACAATGCTGTGATGTACATGTAACACTGGTTCTCACTTTTGATGCTGAATCTGGTCAGTTGTATTAGATTCACCCACAAAACCTTTCCTATAAAGGACTAAAGGACAAAACAAACAGTGACATGAATGCCTAAAACGAAATCAAATAGGATAGAAAATAGAATTGGTCAAAATAACCCCCGATTTACAAATAAGACAAAGTTCACTGTATTTTTACACGTAAATTTAATTTGGCGGCTGTGGGGTCAACATCCTGCTTGAACATGCAGGCAATGAACACGCCTAAAAACTATCTTTATTTTCTTATCTCTGGTGTCAGAAAATAAGGTTTTGTAAAAGAAATCCGCTGTTTTGTAATATTTAACATCAAATTTATTGATCGATTCTATATACATATATGTACATGTAGCATCTTTTCTATCCACCCTGTTGATTCAGAATATTGAAAAAAAATCAACTTTGTCTTTTCTGTAAATCGGGGGTTATTTTGACAAGTTCTATTTTCTATCCCATTTGATTTAGGCATTCATGTAACTGTTTGTCCTTTATTCCATTTATAACTGACGAGATTCAGCATCAAAAGTAGGAACCTGTGTTACATCACAGCATTGTCCATTTGCAACTTTGGCGCCTTTTACGATATTTCAGGGAAAGCATTAATGCTCATATGTTAGCTTAATTTTATTTTATTCCCATGCAATAAATGACAATATTTTCATTTCTATTTGTTTTCTCTGTGATAACTCTTTGAAAGTTAGTTGAGTTGATTTCTTGATCATTCTTCCGGAATGTAAATTTCGCCAAGCGAAAGGTCAGGAGCTAAGAAGGCCTAAGGCCAAATAAAAAAATATGTGTGGTTCCGGTTACCCGACCTTCCCTATTTTATACCCCCGACCCTAAACTTTTTTTTGGCAATTTTCATATTTTTTCCGGAATTTCCCCCGATTTCCATCAATGGCTCCAGTTTAAGTTTTAGTTTCAACAATGACGGCCTCCTTGCAAAACATAGTGCAAGTGTTTAATAGTGTTAAATCTAAAGCAAGCTAGCATGTAGGTGTCCCCTACCAATATTGACTAGTATATTATCACACCACATCTAAATGCCATTTGCAAAGCAGTGATAGGTATTATTTAAAAAAAATTAAGAAAATCATTTTGTTTAAAAAAAAAAAAAATTCCCTACTTAACTACCCTAATTTTTTTGGTAGTGTAACCGGAACCACACATATTTTTTTGTTTGGTCCTAGAACATGTATACGCCCATATTGAATTATAATCTTCACCTTTAAAAACATGTTATTGAAATATATGTCTTCAAAAAAAAAAAAACCTAAGTTACCTCATTTGTTACCTTTGTCAAACTATAACAGGAAAGGTGTGCGACGAACCAGACCAGGATTCGAACTCGTGCCCCTGATAGGTATTATTTAGAAAAAATTAAGAAAATCATTTTGTTTAAAAAAAAAAAATCCCTACCTACCTACCGTAATTTTTTTGGTAGTGTAACCGGAACCACACATATTTTTTTGTTTGGCCTAATATGCATGTAATTCTCGTGCGGCTGTCTCTGTGTTTGACATCAATGGGCGGGGACTATTGAAATTGACATGTGAGGCCTCGTGTAATTTAAATCTATTAGTAGAGACCTACATTTTTTAAAATCTAAATTTACAATTTTATTTCACAATGAAATGGAAATATAAGGAATTACTGTGTAGTTAGTAGAGTATGCCAGGGACATCAACGATAGTTGGAAACGTGGGATGACGGGCTTCGCTTTGATTTTCAATTCCTTAAATCGTTTTCTGTTGGACAGATTAAGTTCCCACTATGCGCTTGGCCGTGGGACATTTGACATGATGAAAGCTTTAACTGCTTTCTTCCTTCAAATGAAGTGCAAGTACAATCTTTTATGAAATTCAATAAGAAATAATAAATATTTCTAATACATTAATTTTCAAGTGTAAACGTTATCCAATTTTTCTGCATTGAAGAACCTGGTTTTCTGATGAAACAAGTGCTTTAATTAGACTAGTACCTGACTCGTCAATAATAAGGATTTTTTCTTATCTATTACCGAGACTCTAAATGATTACAGAAGGGAAAAAAATATCACTAGTTCTTCAGTGCACAAGTAAAATGGAAGTTACCTAAGCGGAAGCTTTTCGATCGAGTCCCTGGATAGAACGAAACATACGGACAATCAGCTACTGGCAATTGCGAAAGATGCTGTCAATGTAGACCGTATCATCCGTACGCCGTAAGGCGATACCATACATAACATAAAATCTCATATTTTGTTTATTTGAGCATATATTTATTTGAAATTGGCTAGGTACGGGTATATTGATGAAAAATGTATTAAAGAGTAGTGAAAATTTTAGAACGCAGTGATGATTATTTTTCATTCTAGACAACGTGTTCACGATTTTGCCCGACAACCCTCGTATATGTAATTTCATTACATGGAAAATCAAAGCATTAAAAGGTGAAACAGTCTCATACAATACGGAAGCCTATTTAGGACCTATCAAAAAATATTTTTGAATTCGATATAACGAATTGTCGAATTTGTTATAACGAATTTAATTCGTTATAATAACCATTTCTTTGAATTCGTTATAACGAATTCAATCTGTTATAACAAATTTGTTGAATTCGTTATATAACGAATTGTCGAATTTGTTATAACGAATTTAATTCGTTATAATAACAATTTCTTTGAATTCGTTATAACGAATTCAATCTGTTATAACAAATTTGTTGAATTCATTATATAACGAATTCAAAAATTTGTTATAACGAATTCTAAAACTTGTTATAACGAATTAAATTCTTTAAAACGAATTCCTTAATTTGATATATCAAATTAAATTCGTTAAAACGAATTCGACAAATCGTTTTAACAAATTCATATATATTTTTCTATTGGCCCCGATTACTGAATTTGATTAAACGAATTTAATTCGTTATAACAAATTTTTGAATTTGTTTAAACGAATTTAATTTTTTATAACAAATTTTAGAATTCGTTATAACGAATTTGATAAATTTGTTATAACAGATTAAATTAGTTATAACGAATTCAAAGAAACTGTCATAACGAATTAAATTCGTAATAACAAATTCGACAATTCGTTATATCGAATTCAGAAATATTTTTTGATAGGTCCTAAATGGGCTTCCGTAAATACACATATTAAATGAATTTTGTCCAAATAACATCAAATAAATTTGTCAAAATAGTTACTCACTCTGACAAATTATTAGGCAAGCATGGTCAGGTCATAATGGTATTAGACATGTATAAACAAATGCACAATCATTTTTTTTTTAAACTAAGGCATGACATATAGAATTTTCTACATTATATTTAAAAAGTGTAAGATAAAGTTTGAGAAAAAAAAGTATTAATATAAAGTATAATAACTTGTAACTTTTTATTTTCATGCTTTTTAGTAATCCACACTGCCAACTTTAAAAAAAAAAAAAGAAAAGAAAATTAGGCCTTTCTATTTTTTTTTTCTTGACTGACCAGTTAACCAGGTATTTGATTGGAAAAAAGACCGAAAAAACTTGCTCGTAGATTTTGACCGAGTTGACGACCCTTCTTTTAACATTCAACTATTTCAGAATAGACGATTTTTTTTTGGACATTTTATAATGTTCGTGTGTTTTGATCAGTCTCAGCCTTGTTTATCATTTCTCCACCTTAAAATCACCCCTACGCCCCCTCTAAAAAATAAGTAAAAGACAATGACACCTGGATAAAAAGAACAGTCTTTATTAACTGTATTGCATTTCCTTTATCAAAGAAATATAAGAATTTCTATATGGTTATTGAACTCAAGAGGTGTCATTTCCATGTTGATGTCTGTTTCGATTTTATTCACACACGCGATATGACATTTGATATAGAAAAGCTCTCTGATTTATGACGTTCTTTGTTCTTTAATAAACACAAATCGTTGAACTCTTCATTGATAAAGATTATCTGACGAAATTGAAAAAAAAATGCGTAAATACTTAGCTCCGTCTTCGCTAGCCAAGGGTTTTCGGTCACCATCATGGGAAGCGGAGTGGACCAAAAACCCTTGGCTAGCGAAGATGACTTAGCTCAGATTAACAGAGTTAACCTAACATGCAGATTTATATTTTAAAGAACTTAGTATTCAGATTGAGATAGAAAGTTCCTGAGATTATTGTTAATAGTTCTGCAGAAGGTATATTTATTCACAGGTACTTGTAGACAGGACCGCCACCACCCCGATATTCATTCTCCGGACTAGTTGGACCCCCCAC